TTTCCTTATATATTTATTTTTATGCAGATATAATGACTCTAAATATTATTCTATCCGTATAATAAGACATACATTACTCTATTTAATAGTATATGTTATAACAACCAGCATGTAATATTTAATTTCTCACATTCAAAATAAATGTCATGAATGCACATGATAGAACAATGTATAATAGATATATGTCTTCTTTCATTTCCATATATGTTTTACATTTTTTAACTCTGTTTTATAAATTTTCAGGCATTTATACAGCAATTCAAACTTGTCAAAAGAAGAAAAATTGTTGGTAGAACATATATTGAGTACTTATACCTCAAATCTTGTGAATGCATCTTCTGATAATAAAGTATTAGACGTCGATAAAAGGTTACAATTTATAATTATAATATCTAAAACTTTTTATTTTATATATATATATATGTTGTTTTAATATAAAATAGATGATAATGTTTTTAATAATTATATCTTAATAACGATAAAAACTGTATATTTATGTATCTCTAGTTAAATATATTTTTTTTATTTATATTTATAAATATTTGTTTTATGTCAAAGATATGTGGATTATACAACACCAGACTGTCATTCAAAGAATATTGAAAGTATAAGAAATGTAAGAGAATATGCTACTGTGGATATAAGTCCCACTGTATCCGATATGGCTGATTCTGGATTAGAAACTGGTTCTGTGAGTCCACACGAAAATACTACATCTGAGAATTCGAGTACTGATTTTGAGGAATTACAAGTCACCGAATATGCTTCTGGAAATGATGATCTGGATAAAGTACGCACTAGGCGCGTACACAACAAAGATCAAAAAGTAGTTTTAAAAAATGAACGTTGTAATTTGACTAATAATTATACGAGCACATGCCATATGAAGAACCTGGTAGACTCAGGATTAATGGAATGTGGTTCAAATGATAATAGCGCAACAAGTTGTTCTTTTGATGCAGAACAACCACAATTAGATTCATCTAGTTCATCTACGGATAACGTTCAGAAAGCAAAGTCACATACAGACGAAATTTTTCAATATGAAAACCAAGTACTTAGCGATCCGTTTTACGAGTCAGACTGTGCAAGTGATGAAAATGAATCGTTTGAATTTATTAATGTTGGCAATGCGTCTTCTGTAAATACCGAACAGAGTTGCATAAAGGAAGAATCTACAGAAAAATTGGAAGACGAGAAGATGTGTCATTCCAGTTATTCACAAGCTGAAAACGCATCATCGGACGATGCAAATCATGAAGTATCACACGACACACTCAATCAAAAAAGTTCCTGTAATACAAGTAATTATTATTTTATCGATGCATCGACCCTCAATGATGAAATAGAAGTTCCAACCTCCAACGTAGTAAAAAGTAGATTCGATGAAAAATCGCATCCATGTGTTCCATCCTATTCTTCTAAATATGTTGCAAGTACATCTAATGATCTCACCGACGAACAATATTACAAATTTACACCTCTTAAAACAAGCAACTTGCAAACAGGACATGAGCGAATAGCGGAATTCGAAAAAGAGTTGAAACTTACAGAATACTTGGAACCGCTTACTGATACACGAAGAACAAAGAGAACTGATTCTCTGTCTGAAGATAAAATAAAGGTTGAAACAAACAAAGAATCTCTAGCCGTAGAAATTAAGGAAGCAGACAGTGGCGAAAGCGCGCATCCCTCCCCTTGCCCTGACAATAATAAAAACATAAATAACGATCGGCACGTTATACCACGAATAGGCAATGATAACGACAATGCAAACGTGGCAATAAACGATAAAAAAGAAGCAGTTAAAGAGAGAAACGATAAAGATACAAATGTAGCGGATGATACACGACGACCTTCTCTTATCAGGAGGAATACGTTTGAGCTGGACTCAAATGACGAAAAGCTTTCAGTTTTACGGCAAGAATACGAACGACGACAAGGTAACCTGGTATTTCAGAATGCTATACCTCAGTATTCAGGGCATCGTGTCGATGGCGATTCATGTTTTAATCCACCGGACGAACCTTCAATTCCGATAACTAACGTATTAAATAAGTTTCCAATTGATGTTCAAATTCCAACTAGCAGTCAGTATCATACGATGCCATATGTTTCATTAGACAATGCAAACTATGAAAACAATCAGACACCACCGGAGAATAATAATTCTCAAAGTAAAACCAGTATAATCTATCCGGTAACGAAAAGTGCTAGTGACGAGGTTGTCACGAGTTATCATTTTGAATTGGACAACGAGTCGAGTAATTGTAGCAACAGTTTACCTGTTACATTAAGTTGCATCTTAGAGAAGGACGGTAGAACGGATACAATAAAGAAAACTAAGTGTGACGAAACTATGCCTATAATTTCCGGCGGTGTTAGCACCTCGGACTATTCGAAACCTACTGATAGTCCCACCGTGCGCCGAAAAACTGAATCGACGCCAATCGTTTCTGGTGGTTCTGTTATTATGAACGAACCGGAAGTGAAGGCGAGACCTACGAGAATGTCTTCGTCTATGACTGCATGGGTAGTTGACATGAGCGACTGCAACAAAAGCGAGCAACTCTGCAAATCGTCGAGCAACTTTCATGCAGGAATGTCTCAAAGTTTTTCAAATACGGAATGCACGAAGAAACCAGCGAGGAAGGCGAATGGCCACGAGAAGCATGGTAGTCTAGGATTCTTTGTTAACTTGAAAGATATGGATTGTAAACCTGTTTCTCAACAACAGAATTACTCGATAGATAAGAAGGAACAAAATGGATGTAGTAAATCTTATTGCGAGTTTTACGTCGACATGTCCGGTACAAGTAACGCGTCAAAAAATAAAAAGACAGAGGTGGACGAATCTGTTGCTGTTAAATCTGAGAAGTTTAGTGAGGCCAACGATAAGAAAAATATTTTCTCCATGTTCATTGATTTAAGCGATTCGCCTAAGAGCAGAGAAAACATTGTACCACCTTCACACAGGAGGAGTTTCTCCGCATTCTCTGACAAACAAATAGAAACGAAGTCGGATGATACTAATTCTAGCGAGAATAGTATCACGACAAGGGATGATCAGCCATCGAGTGAGCAGAAATGCGTCAAAGAAAAGACCAAACCGAGCGTCTTTATGTATATAGAATCTGATTCACCGGTGGTAAGAAGAAGAACTTTGTCTTCATCGCGGCCAGCGTTTAAGCGACATTCTTGGAACGTTGATAAAACGCAGAGCGTTAGCAACAATGGGCACGTCGCGAAAGAATTAATGTTTAGAAAAGAGCACAAACGTGCACACAGTCTGTCCGTAGATCGGGGAGACTTAAAGAAGCTACGAGCAAAGCCTAGTTCTTCGAGTCACTCTTTAAGTGAGACAACAAAACCCGAATCTATTGCTCAGAAAAATGCGAAACTTCTTCAAGAAGGTAACAACGGGCCAAGTAACATGGACACGTCTTCAGAAGATGTTTTTGAGTTTGATGTGAGAGACACACCTCCGAACTCTCATGTTGAAGTGATCAACGAAGAACTACGCGTGAGTATAAAAGAACACGAATACACAGAATTGAAGGCTGAAAGGATTACGGAAAATCTCAATGCCAGTGATATTAAAACGTACGACGATGAATATTCAGAGACTTCAGCGTGGGAGAAAACCTGTACAGAGAGTACCGAGGGTCAGACGCGCAAAAGCGAGACGTTTGACATCAGTAGCGGTAGTGGTCCATCTCCTGAGAGCGATAACCACGATTATGAATTATCCGAACTGTTGAATGGGGAAGTGCCAAATATGAGCCGACCACAAGTGGTTCCTGCTGTAGGTAGCAAAATATCAGAAACGCATAAGTCTTTGAACGAAACGATCAAGAAAATTGAAAGCGAACTGGAGAGTTCAGATTATGCAAAGTCGAAAACAACATACGACAATCACAATGTAACATGCAAAAAGAATGAAAGAATCGCAGCACACAGTACGAAAACTACAACTACTTCCAACTTCGTTCGATTGTCTGACTTGGATAAAACACCCGTGGTTTCTCATTCTTCGGACATGTTGACTGTAAAAGAAGATAAAAACACCTATCGTATGTGTAATAGTATACCAGAAACTTCCTGGATTGAGAGCAAGCTAGTAATGTCTAGAACTAACGGATCCGTTAGACCACTTCCTAGAAAATTCTCTTCGATCATGAGTACTTCACTCCCATCTAAACAGAAATCTCCCCTTGAAGATCTAACAGGAGAATATGATGGAGAAGGAATTATATCAGAATCTGATCTAAGCAGTATGCAGAGTAGCATGGGTCGTTCTGGTGCTGGTGTGTAATTTATTTTATTTATAAAATATGATAGTTTCAATCAGAGT